GTCGCGGGCGGCGGCGCGCGCCCGCACCCGCGGCGGCGGGCGCGGGTCGATGAGGATCAGCAGAGCCGCGGGGCCCCCGTGCACCAAGACTCGTGCTGATGTCGCATGACGTCACCATCTGCACCGCCGCTTGGACCCCGTCCCGCCCTGCACGCCCAACGGCTGTGCTGCAGCAAAGAGATCAGCTGACTCAGCGTCCCCGCCAGGCGTCAGATGCCCGATTCCATGCCCAGCCTGCAGCTGCTGCCTCATGTGCCGGGACGTTGCCCCTATCAGGCGGGGACGTTTTTGTGGGTGGGGGGAGGACTAATGGTGCCTCACAGTGGGCCAGAACAAGCTCGCCCACACGGCTACGTCTCTCACGCCCAACCCAGCGAGCGCCCTTCATTGCGCACCCCACCCGCGGCCGCGCCGGCCGGTGTGGCCTGTCAGCCGTGCCGATCGGTTCGCTCTGCCTGTTGCCCCCTCTCAGTTTGTGGGTGCTTGCCCCTCTCTTCGTTGACCGGTTGGTTCCCCGGACTTATTCCTGGGATTCTGGCCCCGATCCCTTCCGCTCGCCCTTTCAGCCGATCCCTTCCGCTCGCCCTTTCAGCCAGCCGTCTGTCACCGCCTTGCACTCCCGCGTCCTCCTTCTGGGCGCCCAGATGCCTGGGCACATCACCTGTCCCTCGAGCGCGCACCGCGCCCACAGTCACTTGTCGCCGCACAGCAAAACTGCGCTGTCCGCCGCCTAGCTAGCTCCCCACGTTCAGTCTGCCCGTCCGTCCGCACACTCCCGGCGTTACTTGGCGCACGCTGTTGAATGACTCATGCGACGCAGCTGGTGGCTGGCGTGGCCGCCAGCCTCATTGTACCACTAGAATGCCCAGCCAATGCGCTGTCATGTGTGACTGCATCAACTCCTAAGCAAAAGGAGCATAGTGAGAGGCACAACTGGGTGCTGTCTCTGTCCCTGTCGCCTCCACCAACTTGTGCGTCCACGCGACGGGCTGCCATGACATCCGTCGCACGCTGCGCACGTCCCGGCTTATGAGCTGTGCCAGCCGCGGCAGCGGCCGTCCTGCACGAGCAGCGGCCGGGCGCGTCGCATTTGATCATGTTCAACATTAGCCGTCTCGTCTGCTTTGATCTGGCAGGTACAAAGGAAAAAGGCCGAGCCCTTGTGACGTCATGTAATATATACGACGATGACGGGTCGTGATGTCATCGGACAACATATAATCATCTTGTGGCAGGAGCACAGTTGCAAAGCGCAGACAGGTTTCAGGGCTTAAGTCGGGGAACTGGGCCATCGTGGACAAATTTGGCAGCTGGCGAGCGTCAGAGGCGATGCTGCAGTGGCACCACAATTGGTGAGCCGTGGGCCCGACCGGCCGCAGCCGTCAGCAGCGACAGCCCCCACCGACCGCAGCCCCCTGCAGTGCACACACGAACGTGCGTGAGTGTGTGTGCCAGGAAAGCAGGCGCCGCGGCGCGCGGGGGCCAGCGCAGGTTGGATGGGGGTGACGGCCGAGGCGCGAGAGGCGGGTGTGGGGCAGCACGCGAGTTGGCCAGGCGCGGGTCAGGGCCCCACGTGTGGCGCTGTGCTGGGCCACATCCAACCGCGGCAAGCAGGGTGGCGTTATCGTCCCCATTGACGGGTGCGCCGCGGCCCGGCTGTGCCGACTCACGCAGCAACCGTCAGGGGAGGCGAGGGCGGGCGCGGGGGCGCCAGATGCGCAGATTGCTGTGCGGCACCATTACTGACGGTGGTGGACTCCGTTGTGAGGACGCAAGTCCCCCAAAGTGGCAGGCTTGCAATCTACATTACAGTATCGATGGTCTTTATAGTACCTTTATGTACATATGTATATTTTTGTAGACACTATACTTGTAGTATCTTTGTCAGCGTACTATACCTGCACGGCAAAAGATTTGTCGACAAAACATCCTTCAAATGTTTTGGTCAATATTGGCATCCACCCAGCTGTGGCGGGAGATGCACCTCCCTACGCCTAAGGCCGCACGGCTGCAGCACTGCTGCTGAACGCACTGCAGCAGCTGTTCGTGTCCCCCAGACCCGGCGCGCAGCATCTAGACGTGGCGGCGGCGGCGGGTGCGACATGGCGCTTCGACGAGGGACGCGGCTGGCCGGCCCGTCTCGCCACTGGTGATTGGCGATGGCGCGATGCGCCCCAACCTCGGCCCCCCTCGCCCCCCCCCCAGGGTGCACCGTCAGCTGCTGCTTGGCCCAAGCCCTAACCTTTCCAGGGTAAACCCGGCAAGAGCAGCCATTGCTGCCCCCAAAGGTCAGCGATTACCAGACCGATGCTCGAGGCTGCATTCTGCTCACCAGAACGCGTTCAGATCCTTTGGAAACCAACTGCTGGAGCAGGCGCAGGCGGCGCTACCACCGCCGCCGTCCGCTGAGGGCATGACAACTTGCCACCCGTCGAGGCTGTCGGTGTTGCCTGGCAGCCGCAGCAGGGCAGTGGGATTGGTATCCAGAACGCGAGGGGCCGGGGAACGGCGGGGGCGCAGTCAGGTTGTGAACAGCAGGAAAGTGTGCCTCTGTGGCGCGCCCGCTCCTAGGCGTTGCTCTCGGTACTCGCGGCGGCTGCTCTGTGTTCTCATCACGGTGTATTTTGTGACCAGCGCTGCTGGCGGCGAGGGCCGCGGTCTGCGGCCGTGTGGTGTGGTTGGCCGTGGCACAATTGGCTGGTGGACCGTTCGACAGAGCGGTTGGTGGCTGGCATGACTTCGTCACCCTCGGCGGATGCCTCTATGCCACATTGGCTGTGATTGCTTGCAAGCTGTCCAGGCCGTTGTTGCAATGCAGCTCTTGGGTGCAACACTTCACTGCAGCTCAGCTGTCTGCCACACACGATGCCGTCGCTTCCACGCTGACACAAGCGCCAGCTTCAAAGTCTCCCAAGTACGGCCAGCCCCCGCACTGCCACGGATGCTCAGTGCGTCCAGAGCATCTCTCACGGGTCGGGGAGGACCTATTCGACCGCCTGACGTTTCTGGAAACTGAACCGGGTTTCTGGCCCCGCTCAATTTGAGGCAATGCGCATGCATATCGTGTTCATTCCACAAGCTATCGTACGCCTACCGGTGAGTCAATGAGGGGTCTTGCGCGCCCCCACAGAACGTTCAGATCACGCACCCCTGGTGGGGAAGCCCTGCGCTGCCTGGCCGCACATCTGGAGCCCCTATGGCGATGCCCTGATCGCCCCCATGTGATCGCAGGTGCACCTTCGCGCTCCTTGGCCCTCCAGCCCACAGCCTTCAGGTGAATTGGTGTACCCCCGTCGACGAGGCTCCCGGGAGCCCTCCGCCCCCCAACACCAATCGCATTTGCATGTGCATACCTTGATTATATTGCGCGTGGGCCCGATGCCGCCAATGGTCGCCAGGTCATGCGTTCAGATCGCCTGTAGGTGATCTGTCACCTTTTGGGCATGCCTGCCATCCCTCTCCGTGTTGCTGACCCTCCTACGCCCAACGGGTGCCCGAAAGGGCTGAGATCATACCGTTATTACCGGATCAGGATAATTCCTGCGTCGGGAAGGGCCTCCCTCTTTTTCCTGCACATGCACCGGACCATGCAGGCCCCCTTGTGTGACGGAGCGCACGCCACCAGCGGCCGTCCGCCGCGCCGCCGCCTGCCCGGCGCGGCGCGGCAGCGGCCGCCGTCCCCAGGCCGGCCCGGCTGACGCCCCGGCGCCGTCAAGGGCCTGGCTGGGAGCGCGCGGCGCCCTGCGCACGCCCTCCCAGACCAAGGGCCCGCCCGTCCCTCCTGCCAGCCAGCCCAGAGGCGCAGCACCAATGCCCCCTCTCCCCTCCCCGAACGCCGCCGGCACGCCGTACCGCCCCACAGCCCCTCCTACCTGCAACAATGGCCTTCGTCGTCTCCCGCTCGGCCCTGTCCGTCTCCGCCGTCGCCACGCCCTCGGGCAAGCGCGCCGCCGCCTCGCGCGTCGTGCCCCGCGCGGCGCTCAACGACAGCGCCCCCAAGCTGTTCCGCGCGAGCGGCGCCGACGCGCCGGCGCAGGCTGCGGCCGGCGCGCCGGCCGCGGTGGCGACGCCGTTTGATGACTACCGCTTCGCTCCCATCCGCGAGGCCACCGTGAGCGCGTAGCAACACGCGGGTTGCGGCTGGAAACCATGCGCCTTCCCCTTGCGACGAACCCTGACGAATGCCGCCCGCGCCTGTCGCCAGTTTTGCGGGTGCCCTTTCTCGCGCCTTCATCCCAGGCGCCTCCCAGGCGCTCCCGGTCAGCACCTTCCAGGCGAGACCCCCAAGTATGCTTTCCTCCACACCCGCCCTCGCCCCCCCTCTCCCCAAAGGTGTCTCGCGCCATGACCAGCCGCTACTTCAAGGACCTCGACACCTACGCTGAGGCCGACGTGAGCCACTGCTTTTCACCGCGTGCCCCCACTCCTCCCTGCCCCCCCTGCTGCCACTCCGCCCTGCTCCCTTAGCACAGCGGCCCAGCAGCGCCGCTTCGGCTGATGCAGCGTTACAGTCGCTTCCTGATTAGTACATTAGGATTTTCCGGCCCCAAAACCGACCCTAATTTGCTCTTCCTCGTTGTCGTCATGCCTTTTCAACCCCCTATCGTCCTCCCGACTCTCCGCTCCAAACCAGGTCGTCATCGCCGGCGCCGGCTCCGCGGGCCTGGCGTGCGCCTACGAGCTGTCCAAGCTCGCCCCCGACGCCAAGATCGCCATCATCGAGCAGAACGTGTCCCCCGGCGGCGGCGCGTGGCTGGGCGGCCAGCTCTTCAGCGCCATGGTCATCCGCAAGCCCGGCCAGGCCATCCTTGACGAGCTGGCCGTGCCCTACGAGGACGAGGGCGACTACGTGGTTGTAAAGCACGCCGCCCTCATGACCTCCACCCTGCTCTCCAAGGTGCCCCCCCCCCTCCCCCTGTTGGTGGCTTTCCACGTCCCTGGTGGTCCTGGTTTTCTGCCATGTGTGTGACAAAGCACACCCAGACTCACATTAAAGCCACTGTACACCACCATGCTGGTCCCCTCTCTGCTTTTTCGGATCAGCCCGTCACTCATCACGCTCGCTTCCCTCTCCCCCTTCAATTGCACCACAGGTCCTGCAGGCGCCCAACGTGAAGCTGTTCAACGCCACCGCGGTGGAGGACCTCATCGTGCGTGACGACGCCGTCAGCGGCCGCCGCATCGGGGGCGTCGTCACCAACTGGACCCTGGTGACCCTCCACCACGACACCCAGTCCTGCATGGACCCCAACGGTGGGCCGCCCCCATCGTCGCTGCTGCTGCTGCTGCTGCTGCTGCTGCTGCTGCTGCTGCTTGTTCGTGTTGCTAGTTGTGATACGAGGCGTGGCCCGCCCTGTGTGAGGGTCATGGGGAGCGCCGGCGCCTGGCTGCTTTTTGCCGCGCGCCTTGTCCAGCAGCGGTGCAGGGCTGCGGCGCCTGCCTCCCTTACGCTTCATGCCCCTCGCCTGACTGCGCACCCCTCCATCCGCCCTTCTTTCCTCACCCGCAGTCCTGGAGGCCAAGGTCGTGGTGTCGACCTGCGGCCACGACGGCCCCATGGGCGCGCACTCCGTCAAGCGCCTGGCCAAGCTCGGCATGGTGCGGCCGGGATCTCTGGGGAGGGGGCCCGCAATCCGCCAAAATCCAGCCCCCTCTGGTACCCCGACTCTTGCCCGTTCCCTGCGTCAGTGAAATCCGTCCGGCCTGCAGCCCCAGCTCCTTACCCGCGTTCTGGAGGGCTGGTGTCTGCCTGCTTGCCGGACTGGACCCTTCATTTCAAGGGAAACGCGCGCTGACGCACATCATGCCGCACAACCCCCTCCCCTAAACCCTTCCCAGGTCGACGAGATCCCCGGCATGGCTGCCCTGGACATGAACGCGGCCGAGGACCGCATCGTCGCCAACACCCGCGAGGTGGTGCCCGGCATGGTGCTCGCCGGTGAGTCGACATGACGCCACGCCCCCCCCCCCCTCGCGCCGTCTGCTTTGCCGCCTGGCAGCTTTTGTGACACGACACAAACGCGTTTCTGCCAGGGCCAGGACACTTCAGGAATCCGCCTGGTGTCACGTGCGCCCAGCCATCCCTGGCTCATGGTCTTTCCTGCCACGCCCTCAATATCCCGAACCCTCCCCCAGGCATGGAGCTGTCTGAGATCGACGGCTCCCCCCGCATGGGCCCCACCTTCGGCGCCATGTTCGTGTCCGGCCAGAAGGCCGCCCACGTGGCCCTCGGCGTGCTGCGCCGCCGCCAGGCCCAGGAGGCTGCCGCCAAGGCCGCCACCAACGCCGCCGCTGAGGCGCTGGCTGCCTGAGCCTGACACTGTGCCGCCCTGATCAGTCCGCCCCGCATTTCGGGGTGGTGGCACCCCGCCTGGCAACGGTTGCAACGGCATTAGAAGGTATTTGGCACGGTGCCTTGCACCAGCTGCCTGTCGCTGTGCTTGTGTCGCAAACCTATTACGCGACGCCGCGCATCGCAGGCGCTAACCTGTAACAACATTACACTTGGTATGTGACCAAATTCTTGCGCACGTGTCATTTCGGAAGTCAGGCAGTCTTGCAAATCGGTAGCCTTGCCCTTGACTAGAGCGAGCATGCTAGCCTGGAAGATGTTGGAAGGGGCGGCAGGAAAGCTAAGGAGGGATGGATATGGCCTCAGCAAACAAGAAAATACAAAAACGATGGCAAGTAAGCTGGCCGTGCCAGGCTGGCAGCCAGGCGGGGCACACACCCGAGTGGCCCTCGCCCATGGCGGCCTCCCGCACTACTGGAGCCAGGACGCGTGGGGAGCAACCGCCCCTACATCCCGTCCTACATTGCCTGGCAGCACAAGGCTGCCAGGCAGCGGGGTAAGAGAACCTGACGGCTGACTCAGCAGCAGTTCCAGCGAACTCGTGACAGGTGCATACAACCCTGCCTGCCCTGGCTGGCTGACAAGGTGACAAACCTGCACCCTGGTCAAAGACTTGAGTCGGCGGGGTGTGCCATGTTTATTACACCATTTGTATCTGGTCATTCAGATTTGTAACCGATTCCGGAACGGATGCGGTGCTCACATGGATTCTCGTGAGGGGTTTGACCTTCCATTGACTGAGGGCGGGTCAGACGAACGCAAGGCGACAAGGCGCGGTTTTATGGATGCTTGACACAAAAAGGGTTCAATGGAACGCCGGCAATACCTCGAACTCATGGCCAACCGTCAACGCCGCGCGCGCGGCTGGTTCTCCACCGCACTGGTCACAAGGCCGCCCACGCACCGGCACGTTGGCAGTGCGGCCCGCGCGGTGCGTTCGTGGCCGGGCGGATCCACGCGGGGGCGCGGCTGCGGCGCATTGAAGGGTGCACGCTGCCTCCTCGCCTGGCCGATTCGCCGGCCCTTGCCGCGACGGGGTGGGGCCCAAACGGCAGAGGACGTCATCGAAGGTATTGAAGGTGTGGACCTCAAAAGTTATTTCAGCTCCCAAAAGGCGGCCCCTCACGGCGCCAACTTGAGCGGGAATTCGCAACCATCAAAGAGGGCGTGGCGGCAGCAAGCGCGTGCGCCAGCCGGCGGGACGCAAGTGCCAACGCGGCGAGCAGGCTTGGCGCCGCCGCGGCGCCGCGCCAGGGGTCGAAATTGCATTGCATAGACTGCGAGATTGTGGGCTGCGAAGCGCAGGCAGGCGCCGTGCAAGTCACAGCACGCCTGAGTGGGGGTGGCTTTGGCGGCTGCTGCAGCCGCGCCAATTTAGGAGGAAACATACAAAACAATTTGCCAGTGTGTCAACACATCATATGGAGGGAGGCGACACGCGCCATTGTCTAACGCATGCGCGCACACACACAGGTCTGCGACACCCGTTGGTCGCCCAGAGGCGGCGCCAGCTGACGGCAGGGCGGCGCGGCTAGCCGCCCGCCCTGGGGCCGCCGGCGCCCGCGCCTGCGCCGGGGGCCGTGCTTGAATCCCCAGACCCGGCCGCTGGCTCGGCGTCCTGCTGCTGCATGCGCTTCCACGAGCGCCAGAGGCCCAGCAGCGACGGATGGTAGGGGAACCCCGCGGCCATCATGGAGGCGATCTGAGGGGAAGCATTTGGGGGGGGGGGGTGCATGATGGGGAGGCACATCAGAGGCGCGTGCGCGCCCTGGCAGCTTGCGGGCGGGCCAAAACGCAGGGTCCCGGCGCTGAGGTGGCGTGCGAGGACCGCAAACCCTGCGCTCGCCGTGCCCAAAAACTGCGGGACGCCGTTCTCCTGTGCGCAGGCTCTGCTCGTGGGGCGCAGGCGGGGCCTGCGGCGCCCGCCCTTGCCACGCACCTGCAGCGGCGTGAGGGTCTCGTGGCCGAACGCCAGGCTTGCCGCCACGGCCATCCACCCGTGGAGGGCCTGAGGGAGGGCCGGCAGGGATGTTTGGCGCACGCTGCGCCCGGTGGTGCGCGCGCTCGTGGTGCCGGCGGCTGTTCTGCACGCGCTGCGCCTCTGTGCCGTCGCTCTGTCATCGCTGTGCCCTGCAGCACTCATATTGAGGCGAACGCGCGCGCGCGCGCACACACACACACACACACACACACACACACACACACTCGCTCTGAGCCGCGCACCTTGAGCCCCTCTGCCCGCTGCAGCACCAGCTCCCCGGCTTCTACGTCATGGGCGTCAGGCTGGTCCCGCGTGAGAGACTCCAGCTCTGACTGGATGGCCGCGCTGCGCGCGCACAGCATCTCCGCCAGGCAGTCCGTTATGGCGCCCTGAGAGCGGTGCCGCGAGTGTGTTTGCATGTGTGCGTGGGTGCATGTGTGAGCATGTGACTGCGTGTGCATGGATGTGTGTGTGTGTGCGTGTGTGTGTGTGTGTGCGTGTGTGTGTGTGTGTGTGCGTGTGTGTGTGTGTGTGTGTGTGTGCGCGCGCGCGTGTGTGTGCACATGAGTGTACACGTGTGCGACACAGCATGTATGTGTCTCAGCACCAGAAGCTCGGCCCAGAAACCCTTTGCTCGGAACCACCATAGCGCAAGGCGCGCCGGGAGACCTACGCCCCACAGCCTTGCCATGGCCACTCTGCCCTCCCCTTTAAAATTGTCCCATCCCAGCCTCTGCCACCGGCCCCCGGCCCCCACCTGCTGGGGAGTGAACTTGGTCTGCCGCACCACGTACTCCCACAGATCCTCATTGGGCGGCTCTATGAGCGGCTCCAAGGTTCCGAGGTCCATCAGGGTGATCTGGAACAGCGCCTCGGGCTTCTTCACAAGAAACAGCGCAAAGACCGCCCACTTGCGGTCGTTTGCCGCCCTGAGCCGCCGCTCCGCCGCGGCCGCGTCGGGGGCGCAGTTGATCACGCTGCGGGGCGGCGTTCGGGGGAGGCGGGCGGGGCAAGGAGGTGCATGGTTGGTCAGGCGACGCCGGCCGGCCCAGGCTAGTTGAAACGGCATCGCAATCGCCCGCTCCCGTCTGCTCGTCCACATGCGACAAGCTGGTTTGGATCGGATTGACGGGGCTGTGCGTCTGTCCGACAGGCAAGGCAGGGCAGCGCTGCAGCCGCGAGCGCTGTCCCAGGCTTCGTCTGCAGTGCGTGTGCTTTTGACCGCAGCGGCCATCGTGGGCGGGGGCTCACTGGCTCATGTCTACTGCCACGCTGCGCACGTACTGGACTGCCTGCAGGGCAAGTCGACGTGACATAGTGTTCCAAGTTTGCGGGTGGTTGCAAGACATGTGGAGGGGCGTGAGTGTAGATGTGCGCGCGTGCATGTGTGTATTTGTGTGGGTTTGTGTGTGTGAGCGTGTGACTGTGTGTGTGTGTACGGATGCGTGCGGGGTTTGTGAGTGTGACCATGTATGTGCTCATAAACACCTCGCACTCATTTCAATGCAAGCAGCTGCTTCCACGTTCAAGGTGCATTCAGCCTGGCTCGCTCGCGCCCACACCCAACGCCTGCCCCGCTGTGCGAGGTGCGCCCGTGCCCCCTCCCTTTGCCCCCCCCCCCCTTGCATCCACCTGCACCGCAAAATCTTGCGCCGTTAGCCCGCGCTCCAACGCCGCCGCAATTTCCGGCTCCCGCAGCAGCGGCCCCAGCGCATCCACCCAGGACGGCAGCTCGTCCGATGGCATGCCATCTGCGGCGGCGCCGCACGCATCCGCCAAGGCGGCGCTGTTGCTGCCGCTTTCCCGCTGACGGCCTGCTGGAGCCGCGATTGCCTCAGACCCTGCCGCCCCCGCCGCCGCCGCCGTGGCCGCAGTGGCGGGGCTGTTACTGCCC